ACCTATCCTTGTAACTAGACTGTCAAAAGTATATTGTGAGGGCCATTTGGCCAAAGGGATGGATGGATGATGCCAGCTATAGGTGAGAACATAATCGTAATAAATATATTTCTTATGTACAACTTTATGTGGCAACACTTCTTATTTTACAAGTAAGGAAACTGAGCCACAGGTTAAGTGATTTGCCCTGGATTTTTCTTCTGGTCCATCCTGGAGCCTTATCAGAAGAGGGCTGCCCTGTGAAGCAGATGGTCTTTGGACCCTTCCTTCCCTGGTTCTTGGTGTTCCTACAGCATTTGGAAGGCCATCCTTACCACTAGCTGTGGATTGTTCTGGCTGGGCTGACTGAATGGACATTGTTGAAAATGGCTTAAGTAAGTGCCTGGTCAAGTTCTAAGAGACATTTGGAGCCCTGTGAGTGGCAGAAGGTGATGAGTCTGGACAGCAAAGAGATGTCTGGAAACTTACCAAGCTGTGGTCTACACGAAAAAGTCCATTAGAAACAGTTAGGAAGAACATCCAAACAGTAAAGTCAAATCCTAACCTAAATGGTAACAGAGGTTGGAGTTTGAATTTATGTAAATGTTGGAAATTTTATAAAGGAAACCCATTAAATGGTCTTTTAATGTGTGATACTAAATAATTTGGTGAGCAGAAGAAAGTTCCTTACCTTTCTTGTTTTTCAAAGTAAACTCCCCTCTCCACCCACCCCTGACACAGACACAAAGGGACCAGTGGTGGTAAATGCTTTATCTAAAACGCTTTAAAAGGATAGCAGCCTCTCTTAATATTTGCTTTTCTCTCCTAACATTTTGCTTTGATTTCCATCTTTCTGCCCCTTCCTCATTCCTTTCTTTCACCCTTTCTGTTCTTGTCTCACCGACTAATCATCTTTATACCTACACATGTGGGTGGGAGCTGCCTCATCCCACTTTATTTTCAGTGTTTCAAGAACTTTTTACTTTTATCCTCCAGCAAAATCCTGACTCCTTATTATTGCCCAGCTGTCACTCCAGTTGAGAGCTCTACTTTAATTTGATTAATCTGAGCCTTCTAATATACTTTCCCCATTTCCCATCCTCTTTCTCTGCCTGTCCATTATAGATAACATGTGTATTCTCACCAGTTGCTTCAAAGATGTCTTTGTCTTAGAGTGCTGCCATTTCTATGTTTGGTTTTCATTTATTTATCCTGCTTGGGATTCATTGCAATTCCAGAACCTAAAGATTTATGTCCTTCATAAAGTCTGAAAAACACTTTTCCTACATTGCTTCTCTCTGATTTATTTTCTCTTCTCCTGACACTGTACTAGACATATGTTGAAAATTCTAGTTCTTTCCTCCATGTTTTTTAACCCCTCTTTTCTACTTCTTTCACTCTTTGTACTGGGTAATTTTCTCAGATCTATTATTCAGATCTCTTTCCAGTTTATTCTTTCTTTATTCAAGTGAGTCTATTCTGTGTTTATCCATCTGTTGGGTTTTAAATTTCAACTTGTCCATTTTTCAACAACAATTAAAAGAACGACTTTATTCATTTGAGTAAGATTTATGTGGTTCTTATAAAATCTGACTTTCAAAATACTTTTTAATTCTTTTTCTCATGGTTTTAATTTCAATTGGAATTTTATATTTTTAGTATTTGTCAACACCCTAATTTTAGGAACCTTAAAGTTCTAGTACCTGAAATTCTTGGTAGTGGTAGAAAGGTGGAGTAGGGAGTTCCTGACCTCTGTGTTCACTTTTCCTTTTTCATGGTAGATGGTTTGTGTGTTTTGTACTTTTCACTGTGAGTTTTTCTTCAGGGCCTTTCTCAGCAGTAATCCAAAGCTGAGGTTGAGTGTGTGTCCCTCCAGAGAGATTCTGTATGTGCTTTTGTCAGGGTTATCACTGGCTTGGGCCACTTTCTACTTTAATTTTTCATCTAGAAAGGCAGAACACACAACAGCAGTTCAATCTGAGCTTTAAACTGGTGTGAAGTAGGCCAGTGGTTATTAATTCTCAGGGAGGCTTTCTTCCACCCCCACTGAGATCCAGGCTGAGGCAGACAAGTTTCTTAACTATCTCCTTGTGCAGATTGGAGATTTTTTTTCTAGCCCACCTCTACAGAGAGGATTGCCTTTTGAGAGTCCCAACTTAACATGGGAGTCTCAGTTCCCATTCCTTTACCTGCCCTTCATGAAGGCCCTGGGGCTTCTCTTGAACCATGTGGATGTTACAGTCCAAATCCCATGTTACCAACACTGGTTCCTGCCCTCCTCTCAGGACAGCCAGCTTCAGTTCAGACGCTTGCTTCTGGTTTTCTGATCTGTGTGTTTAGCTCTGGAAAACTCTTCCTTTTCTTGAAAACTCAGCTATGCATTTAAAAATATATTTATTATATTTTACCCAGAATTTCTAAGTTTTTAATAGCAAAAGATTTTTTTCAAGAAAGCTAGACTGTCAAGAGCACTCATCATCATTCTCTGACAGTGTCTGCTATGGGGTGGAAGATGCCTGCCTGCATTCAAAGAAGAGAATGGTGAAGGGGCCTCTGCCCTTTCCAAGCTCATTGATTTCTTCTCATTCATAAGCTCTGAAAACTGTTCATTCAGTCTTTCACTCATTCATTTTTACACTTAGATCACATTCAGTAAATACTTCGTAAGTTTCTACTACCCACACTTTCATTCATTTATTTAGCAAATATACATATATTGTGTACAGAAGGTGCTACATGACAGACATGTGCTTATGCTCAGCAAAGACCTACCTGATCCCTGACTTTGTGGATGACACAAAAACTGATCAATCACATAGATAAATGTAACATTGCAAATGTGCCAGAAAGCAAATGTGCGTGGTGCTGTGAGATGTGTTATGGGGCATTTGTCCAACTCAGGCAAGAAAGGACGTATTTGGGGATGTGAAATAAGAGGCAAGAGTGGCTTTCACAGAGAACAGAGTTGAGGAGGCAAGAGTGACAATGGAGTCCAGTTGGGACCAGATGAGAGTTGCTGGTAGCTCAACTCCAGTGTTGACTTTGTAGATAGAATGACGTGGACATAGTTGAGATTTATGTAGCAGGTAAAATTATCAGAAAGGAGCAGAGAGATGAGCCAAGAACAAGTCCAAAGTTTCAGGCTTATATAACTGGATGGCTGGTGGTGTTCCTTTACTGAGATAGGAAGCGCTGCAAGAGGACAGAGTTCAGTGGAAAGGCCATGAGTTTGTCTTTTGTATGTGTTGAGTGTGAGGTGTTTGAAACACATAAGAGGAAAATGTCAAGAGGAAGTTGGATATATGTCTGGCATGTATTAATAGCAGATCTGGAGCTTAAAGAAGACATCTGGGGATATAAATATGTGAGTAATTTGCATATAGGTATCATTAGATGAGATTTCTATGGAGAGGTGATAAACATCCCTTAGATATAAGGGCATGGAGGTAACTGGTGACTTTAACGGCAGCTGTTATGGTGGTGAGATGGGGTGAGAAGCTTGGAGGAGGAGATGAAGAAATGGAATCAGTGAGTATAGACAACTTTGAAGAAGTTTGCCCGTGATGTTATGCAAGGCTTTAATTAATATTTAAAGAAAATGCATAATTAATTGATTATGATTAATTATGATTGGAAGGCAGAATCTTTTAAAATAGTCAGCTGAAAAATGTTAAAACAATAGTTTCTTGATAGTGAAAAGGTGGCTAAGACAGAGACAGGCTGGCGCAGTGAGGACTCAAAAGACACTGAACCAATATTCAATTGTAATAATAGCTAACATTTACTGAGCTCTTATGATTGTTCCAGGTGCCATTCTAAATGCTTAACATGTATTAAATAACTTAATCTCCACAACGACTCTATGAGGTAGGTACACTTGCTTTCTCATGCGGGACATGGTGAAACTGGTCACCAGAGAGGTGACATAATTTGTACGGTAGGAGAACAGGGATTTAATCCAGATGGTCCGTCTGTGGAGTTCATGTTCTTTACCACTGTGCAAAATTGTTTCTCAGTATATGGATGCACAATGAAGTATGTGTGTCGTCTACAAGCTAAGCTGTGGGCTCATCCTTCTGTTGCCAGAAAACGAGTTCTTGGTATTCGTAGCAGGAAGGACTTGAAGGATGCACCGAACGAGCCCAGCAAACGCTAGATTTATTAGAGAGGATAAGCAGGACACTCTCAAGGTAGTGAGAGCAGGCAGGCTCAGAAAAGAGCAGCCGTGTGGAAGAGAAGTGGGGTTGGGACATTATTACACTTAAAATGAAATAACTTAAGGGTGGAGTCTTAGGCGATCATAAGCGGGTCCTTGCTGACCACACCTTCTCTTTAGGAGGGGGCATTTTTGTCCTTATTTGGCCCTCTCAGAACTGTCATGATAATGGGGGAGGGGTGGAGATTTTTCTTGGCTGCCATGCTGATAATATTATAATCCATTATCATCCGCTAACGTTCACCTAACGTGGTAGGATGGTGCCCTTGATCCCCTCTTGGCTGCCGAAATCCAGCTCTGGCCGGATTGTAGTGGGCCTTTTCCTTAACTGCTGACCTTGTCTCCTCCTCCTTTCTCTCCCCGCTCCCTCCTGGCCCTGTTGTTCCTGCCTATGGTAACGCCTCTACAAGTATTGAAAATGTTATTGGTTATATAATCACGTTGGGGCAAAAGTATAAAATAATGCTGACTCAAATACTTGGTAAAACTTCTTGGCTTTATATCATAAAACAAGACAGGCATAAATGGAAGTGTCACAAGACCAGCTTTAGCGTTAATCAGTGGCCTTTTATAAATATTTGCACATTATTCATTTAATTGTACCTGTAACTATGTGGTGGACTCACTGCTGAGGGTATATAGGTAAGTAGGCAGAGTTCACGACAGTCTGAAGCCACTTGCACCTCTTTGCCAAAATGTATCATTTGCGAGTTTCATTAACTACTGTCTTAAAATAAGTGACTTTTTCCAGGTTCCTGGGGATTGGCTTTAACTAGAACATGCATGTGTTTCTTTTCCTCCTAAGGATTTAACAACACCGAGAGAATATGCGACAAAGAGTTTATTATACGTAGAACAGCCACCAATCGAGTACTGAATGTCCTCCGTCACTGGGTCTCAAAGCACGCACAGGTAATTCAGTGGCCTCGTTTAATTATTGTCAAGGATTTTTTAAAACACCAACTTTCTAAGTCATTATACATGTAAAATGCCTCCTGATTCTTTGGAGTTAGGGTTTGAAACCTTGAAATTGGAATGTAGAAAGGGAAGAAATAGGAGGATACACATCCAGATCAAAGCCCACACACCTGCATTGCCAACATCCTCTGTTTCAGATCTACAAATGACATGACCTGTGGGTGCTAGAGCCACAGCAGGGCCACTGTACTATGCCACCCTGGGAGCACAATAAACAGGGCCCTCTCTGTAAGTGGAGTTGTGCCAGCTGCAGTGGTGCCCTCTGGAGGTAAACAGCAGGCGTTTCCTCCCCTGAGGTAAACAGCAGATGCCCCTTAGAGGTAAACAGCAGGTGCTCCCCTGAGGTAAACAACAGATACCCCCTGAAGGTAAACAGTAGGTAGTCCCCTGAGGTAAACAGCAGATGCCCCCTGGAGGTAAACAGTAGGTGCTCTCCTGAGGTAAACAGCAGATGCCCCCTGGAGGTGAACAGTAGGTAGTCCCCTGAGGTAAACAACAGATACCTCTTGGAGGTAAACAGTAGGTGCTCCCCTGAGGTAAAAAGCAGATGTCCCTGAAGGTAAACAGTAGGTGTTACTGGAGGTAAACAGCAGGTGCTCCCTGGAGGTAAGCAAACCCTGGTACCAGACACTCTGGTACCTGGTCAGGTAGTGCTTTCTCAGTCTGATTCAGGAGATCTTTTGCCTCATACTCTTTGATGTTTTGGTTTATAGTATTCTAATTTTAAACTGGGTCACACTGACAGGACACTTACTTGCTATCTATTTGTGTGTTTTCAGTGCAAGTTTGTAGAATTTATAACCATTTCATAAGATAAAGCAAAGCCTCCCTTTGCCTTATTGGTTCAAGGCATTCATAGTTCTTTTCTTACCCACTGCCAAATAATGAGTGGGCCTCCTGGACATGTGGCTGGCTAGCACCCTGTGTGGAGAGTTTTGGAGGGAGAGAAGGGGTGTCCTGAATGGCTCAGGTCAGACCATGTGAAACACGGGAAATGTGAGTTAGCTAATGAGCAGAGAAAAAGGCAAGGAGTTCTAGGTCTCACTTGATTATATTCTCAGAGGCCATGTGGGCCTTGGTAATGATAGTCCATCAGATAGAGTCACACAAGGGCCAGGCTCCTGAAATCCCTGTGATAGAAGAATTCACTAATTAAGAAAAGTGGGATTTGGACCTCACCACCAGTAAGCCCATACAAACCCTTAAATATTAAGTAAAATTAAAACAACAAAGATAACACATTAAATAAAGGATGTAAAAATTTTATCTTACACTTCTTAAATAAAAATGAATCCTATGTGACTCAAATGCTGAGAACCATCCTTAGCTCACTGGAAATGTCTAGCATCTCCTGTGTGATCTCAGCTTGTTGTAGCTCCCTTTTGCCCGCTGCAGATAAAACATGGTAATGAGGTTTCTCCTGTCTGTATCTGACCACTCATCCCATTCCTGTCTGGTTTTTCGACTCAGGGTCTTGACTTCAGTAGCTTCAGAAATGCAAAGTAGCTTCAATAGACAGGGCTGAGCAGATACTGCTTGGTTCTCTTCCCTGGTCTAAGGCTGGCCTATGCAAGTTCATGCCAAGACACACCATCACAGTACAAATCAAAGCCCAGGTTTACCTGGCTCCAGGTCACCTCCTGTCTTCCAAATCTTCCCTCAAAAACTTTAGCCTTGTTTTCCTATCAGCCTCTCTTCCCTTTTCTCAATCCCCAGTGCCCTGCTTGTCTAATTATCTCAAACGGGGATCCCTCACAACTCACATATAACTGTCATAATACCTGAAAAAAACACCACAAAGCAAATTACAATATGCTAGGGCTATTTTATTTTTGGTAAAGAGAATTCATAGATGGGAAGAGATTGGCATACTGAATCCTTCACTTATAATACAGAGATTTTCAATAGGTGTTATTCTCTGATTTGATAGTTGCATTGCATATACATACATATACATACACACACAAACATATGTACATATGTGCTTATAAGGCACTATTAGGTGAATAGCACCAAGTCGCTGGAATAGAAAATGGATTCATGAAAAAACAAATGTCTTTTATTCATATTGATTCCTGGTGGTCCTTAGTTCTAATCCAAAAAGCACCCTAAGTTAAGTGTTAGCTGTTGATTGAAAGGTTCAGATACTTTGTGGGCTGTTAGTTCAGATGTGTTTGTACAGGGGGAAGCACTTCATCTTTATTTTCATTTAGAGGGGCCAACTGGGAGTCCCAGCTTCTCAGACTGTCCTCCCACAGGGGCATATGTGGATGGTAGAAATTGCTCAGGTTTTCAGTCTTTTCTCCTGACATGACTACTATACAAAATTTAGACCGTGGTGTGCCAAAGGAGGTTCTTACCATTGACTCATTTGTCTCTTCTTATCTTTCCTTTGTGTGTGAGTAGATTTTGGGACATCTGCCGTTGGTGTCTGATTGTCCTGGCGTAACCTCATCATGTGTACACCTTGTCACCTTCCTCATCCCAGGGACTTCTCCATCACCCTCTGTGTGTCACCACACATGTGCAGGATGTTTCTGTAACATTTCTGCTTGTTGGCAATGGTTTGAGGACAAGTTTTTGCTGGCCTCAGTGTCCAGCTTTCCCGTCTTCCCTTTACTGACTTGCTTTTGGCCTCTTGGTTGTCATTTGGGTTCCTCAGAGGTCGATTTAGGCAAGTCAAGGCAGACTCTTGGTAATGGATTGGTAAACGGTTTGAATCCACAGTGCTGGTAACAGCTTATGGTCCTGGAAACCATGTTGAGTGCCCGCTGCCTCCTCTTACTGACTGTGGGCACAGCCTGAGACAGTGGAGTTCAGAGGAGGTGTGAGTGTGGCCCCTGACCTGAGGGACCATAAGCAAGGTGACTATTATGGTGCTGAAAGAACGAATAACAACTCAGCTTTATCTAAGTTTGTCTAAAGGTCTTTACTCTCTTTAAGGCAATGTCCAGCTATGAGAAGAGACTGTCCGTAAACCGGGGCTGTAATCTGATTGCCAATTAATGGTCACCTTTGTTGTCTTTGGTTTTCACATCATAAAATGAAGGGCTTGATCAAGAGGATTTTTCATTATCTGAGTCACTCTTTGCCAGTTGAGTTCATTTATGCAAGAGCATTATTGTGGCAACCTGATTATTGTGAATTAGTAGCTTTTTAAAAGAAATGAGTAGGAAGTTGTACTTGTTTCAAAAATACAGCCGAACATGGGAACAGTTGCTTTTTTCCTCACGTGGTAGACTAACCAGGGACACCACTTCAATTCACAGAGAACAGTGAAGCCACTAGATGTAGATTTATCCCCACATAATCTAGAGAATCAAGTCTACCACACAGTATTAGATATCATGTATTCATTTCTCATTTTTCATCAACGGTAACTATTATTGGCAGATTACTAACCTGAACTTAATTCCGGAGAAATAAAAAGTTGCAGAGGTATAGGCATTGGTTCTCCAGAGAAATAAAATTTCCTTCAGATGTCACACTCAACTCTCCCCTCCTCCAATGTGGTGCTAGAATGCCATTTCTTTTTCTAGAAACTTCTGGCCTTTTCTTTAGTAAATATTTGGTAAAGTTAGAATGTTTCTTTTTTTTTTCCTAATTCTAAAATTTTTCACCTGTTAAGACATTCCACCCTAATTTTTCCTCATTTTGGTGTACTTTTTCACTCATCTGTTACCTTTTATGTTGAAAGTGAAGCCACAAGGCCAAGCTGGGTTTCTCCTATATACCTTGTCTCTGGATTATTGGAAGGAGCATCAACAGCAGAGAGTCGGGGGACCTGTGTTCTTCCAGCTCTGCCGCTGTCTCGTCTCTGGGGCCCTGAGCCAGTCGCTTGGCTTCTCTGGGTGTTAATTTCCTCTTTGGAAAATAAGAACAGCCACCCCGTTTATCTCCCCTAAGGCTGTGGTGAGACTTCAAGGCTATGTGGAATTAACAAGCATGAAAGATATAAAGTACAATATAGATATGTGTGACTAAGTCCCTTCCAGTTTCCATATTTCATCTCCCAACATCTACCCCGTAAGCTCCTTGCAGACAAGGCTCGTCCCATACATTTTTGTATCTCCTTTCACAGGGTTCTGGCCGCATGGTAGTTGCCTGGTCATAGTTGTCGAATCAAGTTTGTATTTTAATATTGCTGGTATTCATTCTCTCCAGGAGGTCACTGTCTAGCCTTCAAGTCTCCAAGACATTTCCAAGTCAGACAAGACAGAGATTTTAACCACGAATAGGCCAGAAATCAGGGCTGTGTGTATAGAGACTCTAAATAAAGGAAGAGTTTTCGTACTCTCTTTCTGCTTCTCCAGTGTCTCCCTCTGGGAGGCCTTACATGTCATTTGCATGATTCCAAGGCGTCTGCAGGTTCCAGAGCTGCTGAGCTTGTAACCAGATGCTCCTGTGACTGTCTTCTGTCTTCTGTGCACAGACAGGTGGGGAGTGGGGTGGGGAGATTCAAAGCTGGCTATAGACAATTCATACCTGTGCCCGAGTCTCTGTTGAAGGCCTTGTATGTGTAATCTACAGCAATTTTTCCCTTGAATTGTGTTATTGACCAACTAATTCTGAAAAGATACTCTGCCCATTATTTGAGGAATTTTATAGACCACAGAATGGCACTGATAAAGGAGCCTGCAGCTGTGTCTGCCAGTACCACTCACTTTATCAGACTCTGGGCACCATCTGAATGACAAATGGATGAGAATAAAACAATCACTCATTTCCTTAATTGTAGGCTAAGGGGAATGGTTTGAAAGCATGAGATCAGACCAAAATGACCCACTTATGTAATAAAAATCTCCTTTCCAAAGGGGTTTTATGGAGGTTAATGTTGCTGCTCCCTTTTCTGGTTTCTCACCTCTTTCATTCATTCACCAATAAGAACTGAGCTCTGCATTGAGCCAGGCACTGGGGTGGATGTGAGCTTGAGC